TTCTGTCCCAGTCTGAGGGAGGAACGGCCAACTCTGGAGACGAGACGCAAACCGAGGTTCTGGACGTTCAGGAGTGCTGTTTACTTCTCCAGCTCGCGGCTCACTGGCTTTCCTTGCTAATACCGGTTCCTGTGGACGAACTGGAGAGGTTGGAGAAGAAGCTGTGGTTCTGTCGGGTCCGGAAACACGTGCTTACAGCTACCATGGAGAAAGACAGCATGTTCAAGCTCCCACCAGCAGCCGTCCTCCCTGAAACCAACGCCTATGACATGTTCATGAAGGACTTCACCTTCTCCAGCATAGCAGATCTGAACACAGAGAAATACCTGAGACTGGATGGGTTCCCGAGTCCCTCAGAGAACCTGGATGAGTTAGATCCTGAGTCTGATCTGGGTTCTGAAGGGAGGAGAGTTTTAGGAGGACTTATTGGTCAGTTACTAGATCAGGGTGGTCTCCATGAGGCCAGTCGTGTTTGCCGACATTTCTCCATCCACAGTCCAGATGTGTGGAGGCTGCTGCGCTGCCATGCTTTGGCAGGTGGGGTTTTAGCACCAGAACCGCAGGAGGAAACCCCAGAAGGAGCAGAAACCAAAGCGCTGACACACTGTAGGTTTCCTCTGACATCTTCTAATAACCTGTCCTCCACTGCTTCTCTAAGTCTTCTCTTTCTCTACCTCCAGCTCCCTCGCTCAGCAGTCTGTCCTCCTTTGTGATGGTGCCCCTCCCTGAAGATGCAGTCACCATCCAGATCCAGAGGCTGCTGGATCAGTGTCGCCATGGAAGCAGCTACTGCAAACAGATCCTCAGCCTGTACCAGCTCTCTAAGGTCTGTGGTGTGTGAATGCAGATCCCTTTCCAGCAGCTGGTCAGGCCTGCTGTAGTAGTTAAATAACTGCTTCTACAGTTTGGTTCATTCAAGCTGTCTGTTCCTGTTCTCCTCATCAGGAGATGCAGTGCCCTTACAGTCAGCTCAGCAGGGAGGAGCCTCAGTCTGTGCTGCAGAAGCTCCTGCTTCTGGAGCAGCCGGACCGTTTCAGGATGGCCAAGGCCTTCATCAGAGCTCAGGGTCTGGGTGCTGATGCTGTGGCAGAGCTGGTCTCCGACGCTGTACTTCAAGGCCTGCTGGCTTCAGCCCAGGACCTGCAGCCTGGTGAGAGCCAAGATGGTTTCTACACTAGATGCTTCTTGTTCCTTTGCCTGTTTCTCAGTTGGATCTGTGCTCGTCTGAACCAGGAGACAAGCAGATTTTTAGACCGTCCGAGGGGAATGAGTCTCTGGTACAGCTGATCAAACTGTGTGACGATCCAAACTTGGTGGGACTCAGACTGCTGGAAAACCTCAACACGGTTCCGCTGAGGGAGCTGAACTCCAGTATGAAGAACTGAACCCACTCAGTACCATCGTGTTTGATCACAGCAGTCTCTTCCGTGTGCGTCACTGAACCACTTCTTGTCTTGTTTCCCTCTCTGGTGTTTAGTCGTGGAGCTGCTGATTGTGGCTCACAGCTGTTTCAGTCTTACCTGTAACATGGAGGGGATCGTGCGTGTTCTCCAAGCTGCTCGTCATCTGAGCCACACCTACCTGGCCCCAGGAGAACACTACAGCCTGATGGTGAGTGCACATACATCACTAAATGTCCCTCAGAGCTTTTCCTCTCACTAATGTTGAACTAAATATCAACAGGAAGTAAAGATCTGTTGGATGGGTTGCCTCTGTTTTAATATTTATGGTCTGGAAACTGTTGTTGACGTAGAAGCAGACAGCAAAGGGGGGGAGTGGTGGCTTAGTGGTTAGAACACTGTGCATGACTCCCTGGAGGTTCTGAGTTTCAAACCATCTCCATTTTGAAGCAGTGATTTAGGAGCCATTCATTCTACTGTGTGCAGAATCTATAGTTCCTCTTCTATCGTGGTGGGAGTCTAGGAAGCGACTGCTAAATGGGTACTTGTTGATGGCATTAAAATTATTTCTAAGAGCATTACAGGAGCATTAAAAAGCAATAAATTACAGTTGCTCATTCCTGTATATTAAGGATCAATGGGTCTATACCCAACTCCACTACTTCCTGAACTTAAGCCGGCTCCTTTATTTCCTGTGTTTCATTACTGATCTTTTTTACTATTTTTCAAGGCTGCACTTTAAAAAAAAATGCAATTGTCCAGAATGCTGTTCTAAACTAAATTTCTTTTTGTTTTACACAAATAAAGACAAATAAAGTCTATAAACCATACAGTGGGAAAATAAGAAAGGTACCATTTTGAGAATTAGAAGCAGTGTACATGAAAAAAAGTTTCTTATAGTGTTTAATAGCCTGTAAAGCTTGGAATCCAGAGGTTCTGAGTTCGAGCCCCACTCACACAGACTGCCACTCTGGGTCCCTGAGCAAAAGGAGCTCAACCACAGACTGCTTCCCAGGCACCAACAGTGGCAGCCCACTGCTCCCCCAAGGGGATGGGTTAAATGCAGAGAGCGGATTTCCCAATTGTGGGACAATAAAGGATTTGCAAAGTGGTATGTAGTGAGGATCTGGCATTAAGAGTCAGGTGGGACCTTTTGGACTGTCCATGTTCAAGGTGTTAAATCCCTGCAAGGTCAGATGGCGACGCAGACATTCAATTCAAATCACTTGTCATCTTAGGTCAGTTTATAGATCCAGATCAATCAGATAATTCAGTCAGATTAAAAGTTTAAAGTTTTTATGTAAGGATAACCAGCTAAGCATCCAGTCATTGATTTTACTGGATTCTCTCCTCCTGGATGAATATGCAGCAATAATAGACAGGAAAAGCTCCCTTTTAACAGGATAAAGCCTTGAGCAGAACCAGAACCAGGCTCAGTGAGAGCGGCTTACTGCTGAGGGCCGCATGTGTTTCAAGGAGACAGAAAAATGCACAGAAAAGGAACATAGAAACACAGATCTATAAATACTATGTTAGGAAAGATAACGGTAAACTAGCTCCAAAGGTGGTTCTGTCTGGGAAAGAAACTGTTAAGCAGATGAGCTCTGAGCCAGTATTCATGTCAAGGGGATGAAAGAGAGCACATCCAGTTAGTCAGAGTAAATCTGAACCCATAGCTATGTCTAGGAGAGAAACAGGACTAAACCATGAAAAACAGACCCAGCTGTATCATCGATAATTCGGAAGCTAAGTTAAGTCATCCAGGTTTTTAAGGCCGGCGTCTATTTAATGGGTTAGTCTCATCTAGATTTATAGACCGATACAGCCGAGTGTCATCAGCATATCTGTGGAAATAAGGGTGGAAGTATTTGGTTCTGAAATAATAAAAACGACCTGCTTTGGTGGGTCTGTAAGCCACACCCCCACCAAAGCAACCCCCAGCCCTATCCCCACCCTATCCCTAAGGTAACCTCGTATAGATGTTGCTGGAAAGGAGAATTTGCTCCTAAACAGTGGTTTCCTTCAGTCATTTAGGAACTAAAGGTGATATGATGTGAGGAGCGTCATTAGAGTAGAGCTGCAGGTGAACCACCTGGATAAAGTCCCTGCATGTAGCTCTTGGTGTGTTTTCAAATGTCAAAACTGTTCCCATCTAATGAAAATATATTTTTGTTCCTCTTGGTGAAGAGGGGAAATGGACACAACCTTCTGAGGTGTTTGTTTGTGTGCAGGTGCGTCTACTGACCGGTATTGGCAGGTACAATGAGATGACGTACATCTTTGACTTGCTCCATCAGAGCCATCGCTTTGAGATGTTACTCAGGAAGAAGGTGGAAACAGAGAGGGGACAGGTTTGGCTCTAACTCTCCAAACGTTTAAATTTCACCAGTAACTAAAGTCAGAAATCCACATATTTGTCCTTTCTTTTTAATTTGCACCTTTAATGTGGAGGATTTTAGTTAATTTTCTACCAACATAAAGAAAGCTTGTTTTCTAACCAGACATCAGCTCCATTGATCATTTATTCCTTCTGTTTGCAGAGCTCTAGTTTGAAGACTGCTCTGCTGGATTACATCAAGCGCTGCCTCCCTGCTGATAGCGAGAAGCACAACATGGTGGCGCTGTGTTTCAGCATGAGGAGGGAGATCGGAGAAAACCATGAAATTGCTGCCCGGACTCAGCTGAAGATGATTGAATCTCAGGACTGGGGTGAGCCGGAAAACACAGTCTCCGTTCTGTCGGAAACGACCTGCTCCTTTGATTGCAGACTGAGATTTTCTCTTGGTGAATTTTTTTAAACAGTTGTGACTCCTGAACTGAAGAGTTCGCTGATGAAGGTGTTGGGTCTGCTGAAGGATGCTGCAGAAAGTTTCTCAAAGGTACTTGATACAAATGTGAAGGATCAAGGGGGGTCTATGCCCAACTCCACTACTTCCTGACATTCAGCCAGCTCCTTTATTTCCTGTGTTTCATCACTGATCAATTCCAGTGACCTCTGACCACTGTCTTCATGGTAACTGACACCTGGATGAATCCGTCTGTCCAGTAATGAAAGACAGGAAATAAAGGAGCTGCTTGGGGCCCTGCCCCTTCTTATGACGTCAACATATGGCAGCTCCACTTGGACAAACTGTATTGCACCCGACAGGAATTTAAAAGTAGTGTAGCTTAATTTGACTAATTGACCGAGCTAAAAGACGCTAACCTGTTAGCTACTGAGCACAGCTAGCCACAGCGCTACACAGATCTCCCCTTTATATCATGGTCTTGCAGTTACTTTGTTCACTATAAACTGATTTTTTTCAGTTTTGTTATCAATCAGGTAAAACTTCATCGGCCACTAGACATGCTAACACTACAGAAGCTCCCAACTCGGCACTCGGATGCTGCGTGATGTTATTATCGTTATCTAGGCAACCACAATGTTTTACATCATGTGGGAACATTCAGCCAATCATGTAGCGTAACGTCACTGGCATGCGCAGGGCCCGAGTACATCCGACCACCCGAGCAGATCTGGTCCCTACACCGGCAGAAGATCAGGAAATAGGGGGGTTGAGCATATAGTTTGTGTGTGGAGTTGTTTTTATTACCTTGTGGGGACAGTTTTAGGACAGTTTTGTTAAATTTGCTGCATTGTGAGATCTTATCGGTACTTATGGGACTACAACTGGTCCCCATGATGAGGAAGTATCTTCTTGGGTTTGGGTTAGGTTTAGGACTAAGGTGTAAGTTCAGTTTAGGTATATGTTGGTAATGGTTAGAGAAATGAATGGAAGTTGTCTGTATCTGTGTGTTCCTACCAGGACTCATGCGTTCGTCAGGCGAGTCGCTGCATCAATCAAGCCAAACTGATCACTCTTCAGCTCCACTTGTTGAACCAGGGATCAAACCTTCGCATCATCAACCTGAAGCCCACAGAGCTGCACGCTGCCTTCATGGCTCTGCCCCGATGTTACCAGGTGAGGATCAGTTGCAGTCAGTTCTGCTCTGACTGCAACTAAGGTCCATCTGGATCGGTTCTGAAAGCAGCCTCTAATTGAAGAATAAGGTATTTTTATCCCAGGGTTTTACCTCAGATAAAAAGAAAGTAAACGTGATATCAAAAGATTCAGGTGTACGGAAAATCAGAAACTCTGATTAATCGATTATTGAAATAATGATCATCTAATTTAGTAATCTATTAATTGTTAACTGTAGTATAGAGACTCTAAAACAAGCCTTTATCTGACAGAGCAACCCACTTTCAGCAGTTTGCATTTAAGATAAAAAAAAAAAAAACTTTTTCATCTGTCAATAGGCTCTATTCAGATCTCAACGGGAAAAGTTTGACGTGGTTTAATTCCGTAAAAAGTCTTCTTTAAGGAACCTTTTGCTATTCAACTATTAATAGATTAATCGAAATAATAAGTGACAGAATTATTGATTTGCAAAATAATCGTTAGTTGCAGTCTGAATTTCTACCTTATTAAATGAAAAACATGTTCTATTAGATAGTTTGCGAACACGCTCCCTCACCACTACTAACAGGACAATCACAGGCGACGTCAAAACCGAACCACATCACCAGCCTTCTACCTCCGTACCAGGAAGTTAGCGTGTAGACCCTCTCTAAGATGAGATGCAGTCTTTAATGTTTCATCCCTTTTTTGTCTGTATAGAAGAAACATTGTAGATGATTTTAATGCTTCTAGTTATCTGCCAAAATATCGGCACATCCAAAATAAACAGAATAAAGCCCATCATAAAACCGGGTAGAGTTTGAATCTTTTTTTTTGTTCTGTTTGAAATGAGAACCAAAAACTGTTAACTTTGTTGTTCAGGATTCATGCCTGAGAATAAAGTAGCAATTATCTCATAATCATTTATTGTTTTATTAGCTGTTGCTCGTCGATTGTGTCCCTGTTCCTGTTTTACAGTCACTCTGTCTCTGTGTCTCAGGTGTTTGTCGTCTCAGAGGCCTACAGCTACAATCCAGACTGGGCTGAGATTTTGTACCAGAAGGTGGTTCTGAAAGGAGACTTTGTTTACCTGGAGGAGCTCAAAGGCCTCCGTCCTCTTACCTCCGCCATATTTGAAGACATTTTCAGAAAGTAAGGAATAACTTTTTTACCTTCCAGCCTTAGAAAGTCTGAAGGGTTTGTCCCGTTAAAAATGCGTGTGTCGTTCTAGGCTGGACAGCTCCCCCAGCGGTGTCTCCTCGAACGTGAAGCGTCTGCTGACTCACTGTGACGATGTGTACACCCGATACAGACTGGCCTACCAGCAGAATCTCTATGATGTCACCAAAACGCTGCTGCAAGATAACAAAACGGCCAGCTACATGAATGACAGGCTGAGCAATAAAGCGTTTATCTGAGCCAGCAGCCTGATGGATTCATGTCTGTATGGACCTTTATACCTCCAATGGTCTCTGAGCTTTACTTAAATGATGTCAGTCAACAGCAGGTCTTTATGTTTCATTCACTACAGGAAAACCTCATCTTCTTTGACCTTTTCAGTGGTATTAATTTCCTCTTTCAAAACAAACATCTTTAAATAACACAGCCATATGAAAGATTTAAAAATAACTAAATGTGTATGAATCAATTTGATATCAATAATTTATCGTGATTTATGCTTCTGTTTTGTAATTCTGAAAACTAAATTATATTTGTGGAAATAAAAAAAATTGTTGTGCATAGTTTTTTTTTTTGTTTTGTTTTCTTTACAATTACTAAGATTTTTCAATGACTATTCTAGGCTCATAGTAACTAAAATGAAGGATCAAGGCCTTATGAAATATCATCTGTCTTTAAAATAGTTTTTTATACTGAGTGATCAAATACACCGATTTATTTACATCTAAAAGGCTTTAATCAAAGAGAGTAAACTGTTATTTAAAGATACTTAGAAATATGTGTAAACTATGGTATTTAGTTTTTGTGTAGATAAAATTAAATTTCTATGAATGAGGAGTTTCTTTACTTTTTATTGGTTTTTAATTTTAAAAATTATAATTATGATTTTATAATTATAAATTAAAATGAGGACCCAAACAAAAATTTTGCAAATATCAAGGAAATAGTAAAACGGTACTGGAGGGTGGTTGGAAACAATCATGTACAAAGATAAGACAGAAATGTTTAATTATTATTATATAATCCACTTTTGCCACATTTCAATAAATGTCTCTTTTTGTTTTAGGTCATTATTTCCATTGCAAAGCTGCTCTATCAATGTATCTACACTAGAGGCCTCCTCTTTCTTTAATGATGTCTTGCATGCCACCAGTCATATTCTTAGTTTATCTTTCTTTCTCTGCTCCAGTTCCACTAGATCCACCAAATAAAGCAATTTTAAAACAGAAATTTATTTTTTGATGAAAACACAGCCTCTTAGTTTATCTAATATGCAACCAAAATGGGCTCCCTATAGGGCAGCACCAGACAACATGATAGCGAGACACCTCTTTGCCTCCACAAAACTCCTAACATGTCTTGCTGGAATATAATCTGTGTTGGTGAGGAGTGCAGAAATAACAGATTAGGATTATTCCACGAGTCCTCTCTCCAGAGTGGTGAATTTGTCGATCAGTCTTTTAGATGGATTATGTTGCCTTCTTTTTCCATTCTTGTTTTTACATTAAATCTATTTCCTTAATCAAGAGATTGAACATGTCTGTATATTTTTATTATGAAGGCTCACCTTTAGAAGCTTTTACAAATACCTGTAGAATTTCATTCACATTCCTTTTTTTTCTGATGTATTTTGTAGATACATGAAGAAGTCCTGGTTTGGTAAACCAGATTGATCCTTGAGGTATTAAGACACTTCTAACCGTGCTTTTTATTCAGTATGTCATGTCTGTGGTTGTATTGATGAGGTGTAAATTGGAGGGGGCGGGGCTATACCCAAAACATTTCAAGTCTATATCGGTCAAAAGTTTTAACGAGTTATTGACCCATGGATGATCTTGATCAGAGAGGTGTTTAATAACGGATTTTGAATAAGTGCAATGATTGGAAGTTAATTTCCCATTGTTTGGTCATTGTTTCCATCTGGCCTTAAAGCTATCCCTACACTAGGCTATTAAAGGTCCAAGTTCAGCTGCCTTGTAGTAGTCTTTCAGAATAGGAAGAGTTAATCATGTTTCTTTTGATAGAAGGAGAACTTTAGATTGTATCCTGAGGGTTTTTTGCTGCCCATATGTCTCCGAAAACTAATCTGTCCCAAACTTGAACCAGTTTTTTTGGTGTTTCTAAGGAAAATTACTGGAAAAGTTCCTTAAACACCTTAGAATATTCATCCTGATAGATTTGATACCTGAGCTAATGTTTAGCTATAATATCAGGTTCCAACTGTGAATATCTCCCTTAATAACTGGTTTATAATTGATTTCTGCTATTCATGACGGACATGTTAGGATATGAATACATAAGTATTTATGGATTTCTCATCCTGGTTTAGCCGGTATTTATGGCGAAGATCAATAAGGGTTGTCGTCAAAATAAAAAATATAGGCTTTTTTCCATTAAATGTGTATCCTGAAAAGGAGCCATATGCATGTTATTAATGCTGGTAAGGTTCACGCTAGGTCACTTGGGTACATTAAAACTTCATCTGCAAAAGGTTTCAGGTTGTCTATCATTTTTGTCACTTCAATAGTTTCATTCTCTTTTTTCTGCTATTCTCAATAAAAACAGTAAAGACAATAGAACTCAGTGGGCATCATTGTCTTGATGTTTAAATATGAATAGTTCTGAGGCTTCTCCATTAATCCTTAGCTGTGTTGATTCCTTTAATGGTTACTGTTATTTGAGTTGCATGAAGCTGACACCACCCATTCATTAATTCACCCATGTGAAAAAAACTCTACAGACTGAATGACTAGTGCTTCATTAGTGCAAATCAATTTATCATGTGTAAAAAGAGAAAAAAAATGATTTGCCGTTTTTATTTCAGAGAAGAAAAGATGATTATATAGGCTATCCAGATGCCATCAACCAAACTGATGACGGTGTTGCTTTTAAGATCATTTTTGCAAAAGTCATCCTACCTCTGATGTTAGTGCTGCACTAATTTCCCAATAAGAAGTTATCGCATAATATGGCCTAAAATGTAACAGTGGGTCTGTTTACCTTATTTAGGTGTTGTAATGATTGTTTCACAATATTTAGTAGTTTATCAGACTCTGAGATCCTGCTGTTTCCTGTCAGGCCTTGTTGTTGGAACTTCAAAAAAAAAAGCATAGGTGAAAACAGACTGCTGCTAAATTGTTCTCTACCCACAACATTGAATTGGCTTGGGGAGACCATCAAAAAGCCCCACAGGAACTGAAAAAGTGGACCACTTCATCCAGAGAGACATCAGGCTGGCACCTTTATAGTCAAATCTGCATGGCCTGGGCAGAATATATTTAAGAACATGACTTAAATAAACAACAAAATCATATCTTAGCTTGTTTATTTTGTTAAAGTCTTAGATATAGGTTCACGTTTTTCGGGTAACAGCCCCAGGAAGTCTCCCCACAGTGAGAAAGCTGTGAAAGTGCTATATTGTTAGAAGTCCAGAAATAATAAATATAGAGTCTATCCATCATCCTTTCTGCGGGAGTCTTTGTCTTTCACGAGCTGGTTGAGGATGCTGTTCTGTTTTAGCGCTCTTAGGTTGGATATGTCCTCTGCTATCACTGGTATGTCCTCGCTTTGACACGTCTCGTCCCCTTCATCTTCAGACAGCGTACACAGGAGGGCATCGTTCTCATATGTTGGGAAATAATATCTGCAGATCAGAGATTTGGATTAGAGCAAAGCTTCACCTGAGACTGAACCCAACTACAATGTTTAACAATCTTTAGGGGTAAAAGCTATATGTTTATGTCCCTGGTTCTAGATAAAGACAACTCCCTGCTGAATTTAGCATCTCAAAGACAAGTGGACTCACTGTGGCTGGTCCCAGGTAGACATCTGCGGCAGTTTCATCACATGACCCTCAGATATGATGTGGTCCAACATGTCTGCTCTGGAGTCAAACTTAACCTGGCAGCCATAGCAACGGCTCTGGTGGATCTGCCGCCGGATGAAATTGACCAGCTTAACTTGCTGGTAAAACTTAAGGTCTAAAACGAGGGAACAGGACAGAGTTTAGTCATTAGCAAACCGATAAACCCACATTTACCAACTCTGTAGCTCTAAACCAGGAGAGAGAGAGAGAGAGAGAGAGAGAGGAAAGAAAGAGAGGAAAGAAAGAAAGAAAGAGAGAAAGAGAGAGAGAGAGAGAGAGAGAGGAAAGAA